CAACAATATCAACAACAAGTTCAACTTCAACAACAACAACAACAACATCAACAACATCAACAACAACTTCAACTACAACAACAACTTCAACTACAACAACAACTTCAACATCAACTACTACATTAACTACAACATCAACATCAACAACAACTACAACTACGACGTCAACAAAAACTTCGACAACAACTTCAATAACAACAACAACAAGTTAGTAATATGCTAGATTAAGTGTAGTTATCTAAACGATGAGTAGCATAAGTAACCAAATTCAAAAATTTTCGTTTTAGCTATCAGGTCTGCCTCATCAGTACATAGAACATCACAGAACTTTGTATGAGAGCTGAAAACAGGTCCAATTTTTGATGACTTGATTTCATCTATACTTAGCCACATATTAGATATGCTAGTCGATTTCGACGGTATCATACAAATATGTTGTTGATAAAAAGCTTCTCGCATGGTAGAACTAAATGATCAATTTAGTAATTTCTACATTACGAGGGAAAAGTCTCATAATGATAGGCACCATGACTGAATAAAGGCCGATAACATCAATGCTTGTACATGTAGCGTGAGAGATAATCCAAATCACTTTTTGAATCGAAATGTAGCAGATGTCTTCTATAGCATCTAAATCTGATCAGTATAATGTCATTTATAAAACGGAATATTCGAGAGATAAAATATTTTCTGATTAATTTGGAAGAGTCATATCGAGTAATATCTATAGTTATCGCTATTCGCATACTGTCAACACCAGTTTATTACAGAGTAATACCCACGTAAGTCATTATATCAAAATAGATCTTTTCGAATTTCTCTTAAAATACGACACATATTTTTATACTATATATATATATATATATCAATAGCTACAAAAACAACAACAACAGCTGTTCCTACTTGTGGTCCTAGTGCTTGTTGCGGTGCAAATTGTAATGTCTGTGTTGTTGGTAGTACTACTTATTACTGTACTAGTTATGCGGGTCCAACTGGTTATAATTTTTATAGTAGTGCTAGTAGCTGTGCTACTAGTGGTGCATCTGCTAGTTATTGTACCTATAGTACTACTTGTGGTGTTGGTGCTGGTAGTCCTGGTTTTGGTTCTCATAGTGGTTGTTAATAAAACATATATGTATTGTTTTGTTTTGCGATTACAAACATTAGGTATGAAGGACAACATTAACTAGAAACTCAAATAAAACTTAACTCGATATTTTTTTATTCTGCATTGTATTGCACTCTTTTAATCTAGCGAAAACAGATCGACGTATCTTTTAACAAAAAGAGAAATCCAATCTGCTAGTTGCAACTTTTGCTTTTCACTAACCGCTCGTTTGTCAACAAGTATTATTCTTTTCTAGATGTGCTTGTAAAAGAATTAGTTAAATGCAGAGTTTTAGTTGAGGGTGTGGGTGGTGATATGGGCTTCTTATTTATTTTAGACCTACACTCATCTATCCTCTCACATCATTATTATTAGCTTCAGATTCAATATTAAGGAATAAAAAATGTACGATTATTTATGAAACAATTCAATTTCAACGTGAAATAAAATATATTTAGTGAGTATATAGTTATTTTTAAAAGGGTGAAAATCACTTTGTTGAGATTTGTGGTTGTGGGTATCTCTTTTTTTAGTAAACACCCACACCCACACCCTTCATCAATGAACTTGTACGTTGCTGATGCAGGCAATGGTAGAGTACAAAAATTTCTCAAACTCTAAAGTCCGTCGATAATATACAACATTATTCTATATAATGAAATTATTACTTTACATAACATTTATTTTATTTTATCTTGAAACTTTTATTTAATATTTATTGTATATTTGTGAAGTAGAACTAAGCTGTTGTTTATTATATACTCATTCATATCTTCATTTATTTTCTTTCCTGTAATTTTTTGTGATCAAATAATATAACTTAGAAAATTTAAAAACTAATTTAGGTTTTAGATGAATTTTTATTTTGTTTAACGAACTTGTTGAAAAGAACTAAAATGATTTTTTCTTCTTATGAAACACGATCTATAAGTAGCAGTGATGAAATATTTAGAGGCAAATAGTTGTACTCACCCATTTAGCTCTTCCTATGCAGACTGTGACTGCCATAGAGTATCATGAAAAAACATCGAAAGGATGGGTGTGGGTTTCTTATTCATTCCAGACCCACACACACATACACACCCCACCCCTTCATTTTTTGATATAATAGAGAGAAAGAGAATTAGTTATTCTTTTTCGAGAATTTCTGCATCATTCAGTATGAGTCATAGATGATGAAGATTTTTATCAATATCATGTGAATGAATTACAGTAAAATATTTCAGATGAATCAAATCGAATACGAAAAATGATATAGACATGACTAGCCGACAGTAGTATTCTTTCTTTATTTTTGATTTATAGAAAAATGGTGCTCTGGTAAACTAGTGTTTCCACCAGTCCGCGTATTATCGTCATTGTAACATGTATTTGATCGAGAGTTTCTTTTTTTACTGTTCTACATGTTTATAGATTATTTAATGGTAAAGAAATAGAAGTAACAACACATGATAAAACCTCAATACAAAATTCTAATATTGGTGTAAGAATTAATTATAAATCTATTAAAAGTGTTTAAATCATAAATAAAATTCATTAATTATTTTTTGTTTTATATAATTTAATTGCTTCTTCTAAAATCATAGCCATACCAATTGCTTTTTCATCTTCTAATCTTCTACATATAACTTGTAAACCTACCATACAATTTTCAAATATTTCGGGACTTTTATAAATATCTTTAACTGCTTCGTCTAACGTACTTGTTGTTTTCATATTACGATATTCATCAGTTATTTGATCTAATTGTAAATCAACACGAGTAACAGGTAGAATAACAGAAGATAATTGAAGTAAATTAGCAATAGCATTATATCCTGCCATAAGATCAAAATAATGTGGATAAGCAGGTAATGCATAAATAGGTGAAATAATTCCATCAACAGGTCGACCTGTTGAAG